CAAAAAACCCCAGGAAATTTTGTAAAACACAAATATAATGTTTAATAATACAAAAATATAATCTTAAAATGATTTAACTTAATGAGTAAGTTAAAAAGCAGATTGAAGTCTGAAGAAATAATATATGAACTTAAAAACAGAACAAAGGAAATTTATCTATTTCAATCTAAAACATACAACACAGATATTAAAAGGTGGAAAAACCTGAAAGAGAGGTTAAGAGTGGCATGAAATATATAGTCATGTGCTGCATAAAATTGTTTCAGTCAGTGGTAGACCACATACACAATGGTGGCCTCGTAACATTATAATGGAGCTGAAAAATTCCTATTGCCTAGTAACATTGTAGCACATGTATTATTCACATGTTTGTGGTGATGCTGGTGTAAACAAACCTATTGCACTGCCAGTTGTATAAAAGTATAACACATACAATTATGTGTTGTACTTAATACTTGATAGTGATAATAAATGATTATATTATTGGTTTATGTATTTACTATACTATATTTTTTATCATTTTTAAGCATGTACTCCTTATATTTATTTTTTAAATGTTAACTGTAAGACAGGCTCAGGCAGATGCTTCAGGAGGAATTCCAGAAGAAGGCATTATTATCATAGGAGATGACAGCTCCATGCGTGTTACTGCCCCGAAAGCCTTCCAGTGGTAAAAACACTGAGGTGAAATGCAGAATGTCAAAGTCAAAGAAAAGATTGTAAAAGTAACATGAGAAAAAATATCCTCCCACAAACGACCAACAGCATATTCTTCAATGACAGCAATGGAAGGCAGAAAACAATAAAACAGTATTTTCAAAGTGTTGAGAGGAAATTGTCAATGTAGAATTCCAAATTAAGCTAAATCATCAATAAGAGAATAAAATAGACATTCTCAGACAAATAGGGTCTACCACTAGTACACCCTAATGAAAAAACTACTAAAGGATATTCTTTAGAAATTAAACTGAAAGGAAGGAATATGATGCAAAAAGCAATAGCAAGCAAGAAATTTGTAAATAAACTGACACAAACATTGACAGTATTAAAAAAGTAGTGATGACTACTCAGAGGGTATAATTCAAAATTAACAAAAATACTGTATAAAAATTATATGTAAAATGGGCAAAGTATGGTAGAATTAAAGTGTTTTAAGATCCTCGATTTGAGAGGAAAATAAAGATATCAATTAATTTTGGACTTCACGGATTTCAGTATACATGTCAAAACTGTAAAGGTAAAAAGAGAAATATAATATGTAACTTCCAAACCAGTAGAGGGAAACAAAATGTAAAACATTATCACTATCCATATTTTAAGGAACATGAAACCAAGGCCTATTAAAACTAACTGACCTGACAAAGTTTACCCAGACAGTAACTAGGAGAATGTGAATAATTCATGTCTTTCAATGCCAAGTTCTGTGATTTTTTTTTTTGCCTTCTATGTTATATAGCCTCTGATCTAGGTGATATATTAAAATAACAGTGTGTTACCCTGATGACCAATCTAATAAGGCAAAAATGTCACACTGTTGCAAGAATTTCCTTATATTAAATAGCACTTTGTGGTAAAAGTGCTGTGGATTTACCTAGCAATTCTCTTATTTCTCATTTCCATTTCATTCTTACCTGCCCTCTTCATTCATTAATTCCTACATTTTCCATATAATTCTTCTCCTAGACTTAAAACATTAAACATGTTTAATATTTTTGTATCGTATATTTACTTATTTTTATTTAAATCTCAATATGTATGCTATGGAAAGTGATAGATTCTAAATGCATAACTTTTGTTGGGATATAGTTTATTTGAAAGATTTCACAAGTTACAAAAGACAGTGGTACCACTCTGGGAGGCTGAAGCGGGTGGATCACCTGAGGTCAGGAGTTTGAGACCAGCCTGGCCAACATGGTGAAACCCCATTTCTACTAAAAATACAAAAATTAGTTGGGTGTGGTGGTGGGCGCCTGTAATCCCAGCTAGTCAGGAGGCTGAGACAGGAGAATCACTTGAACCTGGAAGGCGGAGTTTGCAGTGAGCTGAGATCACACCATTGCACTCCAGCCTAGGCAACAAAGAGCAAAACTGCGTCTCAAAAAAAAAAAAAAAAAAAAGAAAAGAAAAGACAGTGGTCCCCAGGTCTGTTTCATGCTCCAGTAGTGCTTTCTCAATGAAACAAGTATGTACTGTCAAAAAAACTGTAGAACTATCTGTGGTAACAATCTAGTCTGCAAATCTTAGCAGTGATATATGGTTCCATGGCAAGCTGTTGCTAGGGTCAAAGATATCTCTACAGTACTATTCTATCTTGAAGCCATGTGGTGAAATCTTCAGGGTTTTGAAGATCTTCAGGGTATTGTCTTCCCAAGACAATACTTCAAGCTCTCGGACTCTGCAGTCATGCTAATCACTGTTACTGATATACCCTTCCCCATCTAGTCTGAATAAAGATATTTCTCCAATATTTCATGGGGCAATAAAACTTCAGGATATATATATATATATATATATATATATATATATATATATATAGAAAATCACATAAGTCTCTTGAAGTCAAATTTCAGCCTCCTAGCACACAACTTGGCAGATGTCTGAAACAATATAAAATCAAGTTCATAGAAACTTTATTTATTTATTTATTTTGAGTCAGGGTCTTGTTTTGCCACTCAGACTGGAGTGTGGTGGCGCAATCATAGCTTACTGCAGCCTTGAACTCCTGGGCTCAAGTGATCTTCCCACCTCAGTCTCTCCAGTTCCCGGGACTAAAGGTGCACATCATGATGCCTGGCTGATTTTTCATTTTTTTTACAATAGAGATGCGGTCTCTTTTTGTTGTCCAGGCTGGCCTTGAACTCCTGGGCTCAAGTGATCCTCCTGCCTTGGCCTGCCAAAGTACTGGTATTACAGGCATGAACCACCATGCCTGGCCCAGAGAAATTTTAACATAGTCCAGCTTACTGTATTCTGCCATTGGCATTATCACTCCAAATATCTAAATTGTAAATTTACCCCTGAAAAGAGCCGTATATCTATTACAAAGAAATAAACAGCATTTCATACCATGAAATGAATCTCTAGGATTTAGTATTACAGAAGTATTACAGGCAATATCTGAAGTCACAGAAACTTGGGATAATCGAAACCTAAACCAATTTAGACAATTGCTCCTCTAACCAAAAAAATAAAGTAAGTTGGGTTTGGTGGCTCACGCCTGTAATCCCAGCACTTAGACAGGCTGAGGCTGCAGGATCACTTGAGCTCAGGAGTTCGAGCCTGCAGTGAGCTATGATCCCTCCACTGCGCTCCAGCCTGGGTGACAAAGCAAGATCCTGTCTCTAAGAATATAAATAAAAAAGTAAGACAAAGTAAAATAACTATAGATGCAAAGAGCAACTATGTAAACAAAACAAAACAAAACGTAGATTTGCTTGTTTTATTTCTCTTTCTTCATTTCTAAAAGCAAATGTCTCTATTGTTTTCCTCTCACCCTGCTTTAATCCAAAAAAGAAGCTAAAAAAAGATAAAAACCTTATAGACCTTGAAAATCCCCAAAACAGAATATTTCACCTTCAGGTAACCAACACTGCGTTGTGTTACTATCATTTACCAACACTGCGTTGTGTTACAATCATTTATTACTAATAATTAACAAGTCAATCAAGCTCAAATAGAATTTCTTCTTTTACAAGCTCATGGAAATAGGATACTTATTAAGAAAAAATCTCACTTATTGGGCAGCTGAAGATTTTTGGAGGAATACTCTTTGTAGTAGTAAAAACATAAAAATAATGCATTGTACTTGAGCAGACAGGGGCAACAGGTTAGAAGAAGGAGAATAAATAGAGAATTACAGGTAAAGGATTAACAAGCAGAACAGTCAACTGTGTGGTCTCAGAAATGGTGCTAGTAAATTAGAGATGTAATTTCATGATTTCATGGAGACAGATATGGGCTATGTAGGAGCTGAAGCCCTTATTCTCACATTGAAAAGTACAAAGCTCTGTCAGCTGATTTACAAAGCATAGTTATTAATGCCAGAGTCAGGATGGGGAAGGTAGCAATGAACATCCAGCAGTACACTATGATACATCAAATAAGATTATAAGATAATAAATAAAATGATGAAGCTAGTTTCCTTAGCATTGTTTCAGGGGAGGTCCTCTGAAATGCAGTTATTCTGGATTCTAAGAATCACTTAAGTGTTGACCAGATATAGAAGTGATTAGCACTTTTCTAGGCTCGGAGACCTGTCTCCATAAAAGATCAGAAGAGCCTAAGAATAAAAAACTGTGAAAATAAGTCAGCTTGAGTCACAAGTCTGTTCCCTTTCCTTCCTCCTTACAAAAGAGGCTGTTCTCTCTGTTTCCTTTTGCAAAGAATCCTCTGTTCTTCCCCCTCTGTTTTTCTTTCCTTCTCTATTTTGCTTCAGGGTGGTCTTGAAACACTCTTTCCTCTACTCCCTGAGTATCTGTCTCCTATGGCATGTAGAACAGAAGCCTGAACAACTACATGGGGTTTGCACTGCATAGTCAGTCAACATATTTTCCTGCTCATACAAAGTCAATAGCCTAGTATGTCCAACAGCTGATAACTGCAGGAAGCTCAGAGAGCAACATTGGTCAATGTCCCTGCTCCCAATCACTTTAATAATTTATTACATATCCATTCTCAGGGTTTTCTTTGAAATCACTCACAACCAAACCAAAAAGGTATAAATTAGGGGGAAAAAAAAAGAGATGTTTATTACAAGAACAAGTGGTTGGCAGAAAAGAGAAAATAAAACAAAGCAAATAAAAGAGATAAAACAGAAAACTCACAAATCATATGACAAAACAATATTCTGCTGACATTTAAATAAAGTAATCCCATGGCAACAATTCAACTGCTGCCTTTTTGCCTGGAATCCCAGATTTCTCTTGTTTGGGACTGGACACAATTTTCATTTTTCTGTGTACTTAGTGCTTCACATTGAACCAATAATATTTACCACGTACTTGTGCTTGCTTGCATACTTTAAAAGGCTGAAGTGTTTCCTGGTAGAAAAGCTGATGATAAGCCTGCAGGTCAAACCAAAAGTACACACTGTTCTTCCACAACTACAGATGGAAAAAGTACATCAATTATTACCACCCAATTATTAAAGCTCTTACAAAGTTCTAATTTCAAATATAAATAATTGTTTAGCTCCTTGTTGTTACCATAAATCAGGTTCAATTTAAGATGGTTTTAATCTTCTACCACAAACTGGCAATACACAAAATATTTATTGATATTGTTACTGGGACATTATATTTTTGCATGTATGCCTCTCACATAATTAGTCATTAAAATAGTAAGTATTCTAGTTAACAGTTAAAAATTAACCACATATTTCTGGCATGAAACCAAAATGTAAAAGTATTTTGATATATATGGGCAAATGTCTATTACAGCAGAACCAGACATTACTCTAGTAATTGAACCAGTTAAATACTTCTCTCTTGCCCAGACTGGAGTGCAGCAGCATGATCTCAGCTCACTGCAACCTCAGCCTCCCAGGCTCAAGTAATTCTCCCACCTCAGACTCCCGAGCAGCTGGGATTACAGGCACGTACCACCATGCCCAACTAATTTTTGTATTTTTAGTAAAGATGGGGTCTCACCATGTTAGCCAGGTTGATCTTGAACTCCTGACCTCAACTGATCCACCCACCTTGGACTCCTAAAGTGTTGGGATTACAGGCGTGAGCCACTGTGCCTGGCCAATACTTTTCATTTGAGCAAAAGTAAGACTAGTTTTTTTTTTAATTTTGAAAAACCAACTGGAAATAATTTTGCCATTATTCATTGCAATTTGTCATTGTAGGATGAAACAAAGAGAATTATAATTGACATGCTTAAATATTCACTAAATATTAAATATGAATTTTCTTATAGATGGGAATTTTAACATCAAATATAATTATGTGAGCACCGAACTATTTCAATGTCCCTTATTTTTAAATGAAGTAAAATTATAATTAAATTTTAAATAATTATTTTCTACCTTGTTCCCTGAATGCTCACAGAATTTAGTAAAGAAGAATCCAGCTCTATTTTCCACATACAAAGATTGCAACAAATTTTCCATGTCAAATCCTCCCAAGGCGCCAACATCTGTCATGGTTTTAACCTAGATAACAAAACAGAAGTCTATTATCCACCCAAAAACATTGTAATTTTTTATGGCATTACATAACAGGATTTCATAAATTCTACCATGCTGTCATTTTCCCACTGGACTATTTTATTTTTGTACCATATACATAATTAATGCAGTATGTTTACATTTGAGAGTCATATAAGATTCATTTGTGGAGCCCAACTATAGCCACTGAATATATTCTATTATAAACCAATCTGATTTTAAACTGAATGTTGAAGCAACTTCCCAGCCTCAATTATTTTCATGTTTCAGGCAAAGTAAGGCCATTTTAGTATTCCAAATCCTTGTTGGTGGCCTCTTTCATACATATTTAGTGTTATTTTAGCCTTGAAGTGCTGCAATTATAGCTACAGAGGGTTATGATGAGAGCTATCTCCAAAGCCTCTCAGTGCTGCTCATTAACTGTTCTTACGGGGTCTCCCTTTGGACAGTCTCACCCTGTATAGGTCACGGCCTGCACAGTGCAAATGGCAGTATAAGTTCTCATTAAACTTTGCTTTTTATGAGCTTCTCTGCCAAAAGTGCTGGCAACCCTCATACAATTTTTGAAACACAGAAAGCTGGCTATTTCTGCAAGCACAAGAGTGACTTCAGAATATGAAAGGGCATCTACTTCAGTTTAACTCTTTGCTATTTGTTTTGTAGAACTCATAGACTACTTCTTTGTAACAAGACAATAATGGTATGAAAAAGTTAGGGTTTAAGTAAGGTTCTCACTCTCTTTTTGTCCTACTGTCTCTCCATCTCTCCACCTCTATCTGCCTGCTAAACAAATTCTGAAGTGAGAATTTAATGCTTTTGCTATGTGTAACTATCAGCATCCCAAACTAAAAAAATCATTATTTTAGTAGGAAAAAAAATCCTAATTAAAAGAAATGGGTACTATTTGCTTAGAATAAAATAAATAGTTACGTAAAATTATAGCTAAGTGTTCAGACTGCATTGGGACTCCCAAGGTTTCTACCTAAAGTATAATCCTTAGGGAATGTGAAGTTTTCATCTAGAACTAGTGCATTAAATCCACATCATGAGGGTAGCTGTACTGTGGAAACATTCCGCCCTTTAAAAATTCTAGGCTTCTAAAACATAACATCAAATACTATTTTTCTTTCAAGTGTTAAAAATTTGACAAAAATATTGGAGGGTCTTATTTTGGGTCTGAAGTGTCATCATAACAAAGCCAGAACATGATTGTGTTTGAACACAGTAATCAATGCAGCATATAGAACCATGGTACTACAAAGGGAAAACACAGGGGGAAATATTTGTGTAAAAATCCTTTGGCAAGGAAAAAAATCAAATGTGTTGCTTGGTAAAGAAAAACTATTGTGATATATCAATAAAAATTCTCTAAAATCAGGAGATATTGACCAATTAAATGAAGAATCAGGCTATTCAGTCCTCAAAACACTCACCTTAGGCTCTTCTGTATAAGTGTATCTTCTATCCAGCTGGGGCTTGAGACATTCAGAAATGTCCGTAAAAGATGTTAAATGAATGATTTTGCTGCTTTCTGACATGTTCTTTGACCTAAATTATAAGAATGAGATCTAAAATTATAAGGATGAGAACTAACTGATGAACAAACAAATTTTCAGCACTTTTGGCATACATTGCACCAAATCTTAAGAGTACTTCTGAGCAATGTGACTCAGGAAAAAAAGGATAAGCATCAGTTCTGGCCCTGAAATGGTCGTTCAGTAAATGAGGCACAGTTATCCCAGAATGACAATTCCCAAAATAACTGCTGGTTAGATTAATTTAAGAGATCTTATTACAGATTCCAAATGACTGGGATGGATAATAAATACTTTGAGAGGGTAAGAATGAGAAATTCCTTCAACCTGTATTAGTAATTTAAAAATAAAATTTTTCCTGAAAAATTAGGAGGTGATATATTCTGTGTATATACCTGGGTGTGTACATGTGTTTTAGAGGGGCTCTTTAGATAGGAAAATCATGAGCAATAAATGAAGGTGGGTATGGAAATCCCTGTTTAAAAGGCAGCAAAGGTCATTTGCTTAGGGCAAGAAGGCACTAACATTAAAAAGTGAACACTATATACTACATACCAAACACTGTGCTAGATATAATTCATATTATAATATTTAATCCTCACAGAGGTGAGATTCATAGGGAATTATATAGATTAGGTTGGGGTACGATAACGGAAGACTTTGGAGTTAGACTAATGACTTTGGACATTATTTTCTATTTTTTTATCCAGCTTGCTCTCCCACATCCACACTGCAATTATTCTAAAGCCTTATTTTCCAGCTCCATAAAACATGCCTATTCTACCTTGCCAATATGCCTCCACTCCAATCCACCAGCAGATTACCTTGCAGGTTCTTCTCACACACACAAAAAAACATGCTTCAGTTTTCATTCCCTCATGTAGCAGAGTGGCATGCTTCTGGATAAAGTACCACTGAGATTCTGAAAAAGCTAAACATTAACCTTCTAAGATTCTCTTGCAGAGAGACATAGCCCTGAGACACAGATGTGACTAATGAGATACAAAATGAAATGTGCTAGGGGAGATTCTGAGAAAGCTTGCTTTCCTGACAAGAAGAAAAGGGTTAACGGAAATTACCCTTCCTCCTCCTTTCTGACTTGGAGGCCTGATGTTAGGAGCTGCAACACTGCTGATCATGAGAGAAAGGCCAGTGCATCACAAAAATTAAGGCCCTAATCCTTCTGATCTATTGTGCCAACACTGGGAATTGCCTACCATCGGATTTCTTGTTATGTGAGAAAAATTAAGTCAATTCATCTAAGCCATTGCTAGTCAGGTTTTTGTTATTTGCAGCTGAAAGCATTCTTGATATGAACAACAAACATATCCACCTGGACCCATCCTTACTTCTTTCCATGTTGTCTCCGGAGGAGGTGCCCCACCTCCTGTCCATGGTTAATCTCATTCCCTTGGCTCTTAAACCTGTCCCTCTATTCTCCTTTGAATATGGAGACTTCCTTTTTTCTCATATATCTTCAACTTCTCCATTTCCTCTGGATTCTCTTCTATGCATATCAACAGATTCAAGTCTTCACCTTAAAAATACTCTTTCTGATGCAAACAAAAACCTTTAGCCAGACTAACCAAGAAAAATCTTTCGTGGCTGGGCACGGTGGCTCATGCCTGTAATCCCAGCACTTTGGGAGGCCGAGGTTAGTGGATTACTTGAAGTCAGGAGTTCAAGACCAGCCTAGTTAACATGATGAAACCACGTCTCTACTAAAAATACAAAATATTAGCCAGGCGTGGTGGCAGGTGCCTGTAATCCCAGCTACTTGGGAGGCTGAGGCAGGAGAATCACTTGAACTAATGAGGCAGAGCTTGCTTGCAGTAAGCCAAGAACTGCTCTTCAGCCTGGGCAGAGTGAGACTCTGTCTCAAAAAAAAAAACAAAAAAACAACAACAAAAAAATCCTTTAGCTAGACTAACCAAGAAAAGGAGAAGACTCAAATTACTTACATCAGGAATAAAAGAGGATACCTCAAAACCAACCTTACAGAAATTAAAAGGATTATGAAGGAATACTATGAACAACTATATGCAAACAAATTAGGTAATCTGATGAAATGAACAAATTCCTAGAGGGACACAAATTGCCAAAAATTACTCAAAAAGACAGAAAACTTGAATAGACCTATAACAAGTAGAGAATAAATCAATAATTTGAAATCTACCCAGACAAATAAAAGGCCTGGGTCCAAAAGGCTTCACTGGTGAACTCTATCAAATACTTAAAGAAGAACCAATACACATTTCTTCCCAAATTCTGAAAGGGAGGAGATACTTCCCAACTCATTCTGCTCTTTTTTTTTTTTTTTTTTGAGAGTCTCACTCTGTCGCCCAGGCTGGAGTACGGTGGCATGATCTGGGCTCACTGCAACCTCTGCCTCCTGGGTTAAAGGTATTCTCCTGCCTCTACCTCCCAAATATTTGGGATTACAGGCACGTGCCACCATGCCCAGCTAATTTTTGTATATTTAGTAGAGACGGAATTTCACCATGTTGACCAGGCTGGTCTCAAACTCCTGACCTCAAGTGATCCACCGACCTTGGCCTCCCAAAGTGCTGGGATTACAGGCGTGAGCCACCATGCCCTGCCTAAAATTCTTCCTTCCCTTGGCTTCCATGACAGCACTCTTTCCTTATTTGTACATCTCCCATCTCTTAGATTACCCTTTCTTGGTCTTCTCTTCTAGTTCCTTATTTTCTGCCTTTACTGTAAATCTTGATAACTTAGTTCTCATTACATACTGCTCTTTCTCTCTCTCATGACAATCTCATCTATGACCACAGCTTCAACTACTCACTAAAGTGTAATGCTTCCTCAATTTTCTACTTGTAATTGATCTCTCTCCTGGGCTCCAAACCTATATTTCAACTGTTTTGAATATGTATATCCCAATCTATATCCTAATGTAGTTTTAAATTTTTTATTGAGATAAAATTCACATTGTCAACACACAAAAAATTTTGATGTAGAGAAATTGAAACCCAATATAGTTTCATCTCAACCCTGGAGTATTGTCTGGGCTTGGTGGCTCATGCCCATAATCCCAGCTCTTTGGGAGGTGGCAGGATTGCTTAAGGCCGGGAGTTCAAGACCAGCCTGGACAACATAGTGGAAACCACATCTCTACAAAAAAAAAAAATTAGCCAGGCATGGGGGCACACACCTGTAGTCCTAACTACTTGGGAGGCTGAGATGGGAGGATCACTTGAGCCAGGAGTTCAAGGCTACATGCCATAGCACTCCAGCATGGACAAGAGAGTGAGATGCTGTCTCAAAAAAAAAAAAAAAAAAGTACCTCAGGCTCTATATTCCTTCATTCAACAAATATTAGTTGAACACATATTATGTGCCAGACACTGTACTAGGAACATTTACCTAGGGAGCACCACAAATTAAAATTACCTGCCTCCCCCAGTCCTGCTTTTCCTCCTTCTAAGAATAACAAGTTCACAGAAAATAATGTAGAAATAGTTCTTAAACATATTTTAAAATGTTCAACTTCAGTCAAAATAAGAAATACTGTTTTAAAAATATATCTGCTTAGCAAGAGTAATGTATACTATGTTGGTGAAGAAATGGTTAAAAAAAGGCACTCATACATGCTGAAGGAAGTGTTAAGTTGTTACAACTCCTATGAAAGACAATTTGATATTATCTAGCAAAATTTAAAAAGCAAATTAACTTTGACTCAAAAATTCTACTTTTAGGAATTTATCATATATGATATATATGTTCAACAAATATTAATTGTTGAATTAATGTTGAATAATTCAACTTTCCTCTGAACTCATGCCTATCTGTCTTTTCACTTGTTTCCTCACCTGAAAAATGAAGACAATGCTTTCTTTATGGGAATATATATGAGTGTGTGTGTGTGCACGTGTGCGTGTGTGTGTGTGTGTGTGTGTATGAAATATAACAATGTATAAGAATATCCACTATAACATTGCTTGTAACAGAAAAAATTAGAAACAATGTCATGTCCATCAATAGAGTACAAATACAAAGTATGGTATAAAGCAAAAAAGCAGACATAGGAGAAGGCAAGATGACAAGAATAAGAATCAAAATAGATTATGGTATATCTATTGCGATAGTACAATCACTGCTATGGAAAAAAATCTAAGATATTTTAATAAAAAATTAAAACGACAAGGCATAAAATAAGTGTATAGCATGCAACTATTTTTAAGCTATATTTATATTTCTAATTTTTAAGAATAAAACAATTTCAGTAGTGACACACAAAAACTCTCCAGTTGTTCTTAAATTCATGGAGAATAATCTCCAGATTCCCTAATGTGACAGATAAGAAATTTCACATTCTGAACCTTACTTATGTTTTCAGCTTATCTCTTGCTTTTTTACTGTAATACTCTATACTCTAGCCATAATGGTGTATAGGTTTCAAAATTCAACTTTTCTGTCCACTCATGCCCATATGTCCTTTCCCTTGTTTTATCACTTGAAAAATGAAGATAATGCTTTCTTCACAGGGATGCAGTAAGAATTAACAGATATATATGCCTTCAGAACAGTGTTGCAATTAAAAAAAAGAATTAATTGATACAATGCAAGCAAAGTTTCAATGTCACAAAAGTTCATTAACTGCTACTTTTGGAAATGGTAGAGAAGGTGATTTGGATTGACCTCACATAGAAGGCAACTAGATAAGCTGAAAAAACTTACAAAAATAAATCCGCTTAAAGGTATCTGAGTGCTAACAATGTAGTCAAGAATAACTGAGTGAAAACCCAGAGGATAAGAATTCACAGAGGTGACTTTGGCATTTGAGGCTGCTTTTTCCTAAGGGTTTGCTCATAATGAGAGTCAAAGACACTGATAAACCCTTCATACTTTTTTTTTTTTTAGATGGAGTCTCACTCTGTCACCTAGGCTGGTGTGCAGTGGGATGATCTTGACTTACTATAACCTCTGCCTTCTGGGTTCAAGTGATTCTCGTGCCTCAGACTCCCAAGTAGCTGGTACTACAGGCACGTGCCTCCACAGCCAGCTAATTCTGTTTGTTTCTTTGTAGAGACAGAATCTCACTATGTTATCTAGGCTGGTCTCAAGCTCTTAGGCTGAAGCAATCCACCTGCCTTGGCCTCCCACAATGCTGGGATTACAGCCCTGAGCCACCATGTCTGGCCAGTAACAATGATAATATTCTTGAGAATCTTATGAGTTCTCAAATCTGAGAAATGTTGAATTATTGAATAGAGCCAAAAAAGAATTAGAGGGCAATCTTCTCAGAGAAGTCTTGGGAAGCTAGAGATCAGAGGCATCATCCCTAAAGTTATTAATATCTGGAACTCTACTCCTAATTTAGAGTATTCATACAAAGAACAAGCTTCTAATATATATCACTGAAATATTAAGAACCCAAGTACAAATATCTAAGTACTAGTTTTTAATTTGTTTAGTTTTAAAATTCTCTAAAAATCTTAGCATTGCAGAAAAGCGCTTGACACACAAAAAGCTGCACCTACCCTTTCTCAATCACATACTTAGAAGAACCTGGATACAAAAGCTCCCTCTTCCAAGGCTTTTGAGTTGCTGTATTTACTCCAGGTGATTTCTTGGGAGATTTAGGAGGTTGTGATAAGCTGAATTCTTCTTTCTAAAATGGTAAAATAATGAACAAAATGAAAATACGAGAGAGAAAAAAGTACAGCTCTGCACCTATACCTCAAATTTGTTCTGATCACTAGAGGACTTTTTCTTTCACTCTGCCTCGTACAATGCTTCTCATTAAAATAGGAATTTTATCCTTCTCCAACTCCTACTTTTATGCAACCAGCAAAGTGGAATCGAACAGCAATTTAGACTGTAAAAAGGGAAGAGCTGAAGGCTTATATATCCTTACTTGCATCACTGTGAAAGAAGACTCTTTCCTGGAGAAAGAACGTTGCAAAAACGATTCTTTATTCTATAACTCAATAGGTATTAGAGCTAGATGTATGTAGGTGTGGTGAGGGCGGGGCAGGTGGCAGTGTCAGCAATCACAGGGCAGGGAAATGAAACCATGCCCTGGTCCACATAAGAAGGACTCTATAGCTTAACAGCACTAATTCCTTCCATTTTGGGGCATTTTTTTTTTCATGGTTATTTTTCCCATTCTTAAAGAGTTATTTACAGTAAAAGTTAACAATTTAACTTCAGAATATGAGATGCATGGATTTTAAAAAGTATAAACAACTAAATGTCAAAATGGAGAATGGGATATACATAAATGTGACATTGTGTAATACTTAAAAGTAGTAGTGACAAAAATGATGACACACGTGGAAAAATCCTCATGATAAAAGAAATAATCAGGAACAAAAGTCTAAGCACAGTAAAACAAAAATTTCACAGAAGAAGCCTAAAAGGAAAGAAGTTAGTAGCTGTCTGGAAGCAGGTGAGATCAGAAGTGATTTGTCTCTTCTCCAGTTTCCAAATTTACAGTAGTTTTACTATTTTTATAATTTCAAAAACACACTTTTCTAATATGTCAACTTCCATCAGAATATTGTATATATTGCAAGAAAGTAAGGAATATACTTATAATGTTTTATTATCCAGAACAAACAATAAAACCTCATGTATACTCTATATAGTAACTACTAATAATTTTTTAAGAATTCTATAAAGAAAATTAATAACAAGTATATTCTACATATAACTTCCCATATATAAGGGCTTACATCTGTTTTAGTAATTCAGAACACAGCATGATATTAAACAACACTCAATAAATGAGAGTCACCACAGGAGGCTGAGCTTATTATTTAAAGTATATAATACAAAAGTAGCCAAATTCATAGAAACAGAAAGTAGAATGGAGGTTACCAGGGGCTGTGGGGATGGGAAAAAGGAGAGCTGGTCTTTAATGGGCAGAGTCAGATTTTCAAGATGAAAATTCTAGAGATCTGTTTCACAACATTGTGAATATAACTAACACCATTGAACCCATACATTTAAAAATGATTAAGATGGAAAATTTTATGTTTTCTACCACAATAATTTTGTTAAGTTTTCTTAAAATAAAAAAAAAAAATTAACATATCATACAGACAAAGGCCTATATTAGACTTTGTGAGCTTGCTGGCCTAGGTGAAAGCTAGAAGTAGCCAGAAAGTAACTGATGGGGGTGGGTGGGGAAACCAAGACAAAACAAAAAAACCTGAGAAAGGGCCACAGTAGGATTGTCGAGGAGGGCGGTATAAAGGAACTGCTCTATAGCATGATTGTGATGGTGGATACACCATGTATACATTTGTCCAAATTTACAGAACTATACACTTAAAAGGGTAAATTTTGCTGTATGTAAGTTATACCTTAATTTCTGTAATGGAAAAGTAAGATGGAATTGAGTTCTATTCCTTATTTTTTGCCAAGGAGAGAGAGAGTGAGATCAGAATGAGTTGTCCAACTAGAAACATCAATGACAGCATATGTAATGATTTTCAGGAAGTCAGATGAAGACAACGGATGAGAAGACATGTTTATACCACTTTTTCACACAAGCTAATCTCTGCCCACTCCTTTGGCATTGTTCTCTTATTTGAGTTCCTTTCATTAACCACGTCACTTATTTTTTCTTCCCCCTTTCTTTTCAGGTTGATAACGTTGTTTGTACAAATGTTTCTATGTTATTAGATGACGTGCTCCCTATACTACAGCTCCAAGATGAGGAAACTTTTGTGCACTAAAGTGACACTAACTTAAAATGTGGTTCCCAGAGCAGCAGCAAGAGCATCACCAGGGAGAGAGCTCCTTAGAAATGCAAATGAATACTTGGGTTCCACCCCAGAACTACTGGATTTTGATCTCTGGGTGAAGCCCAGGAATCTCTATTTTAACAAGCTCTTCAGCTGACTCTTCTGTATGCTAAAGCTTGAGAACCACAAGTCTAAAGCAGTGTTTTTCACATATGAATCACCTGAGAATCTTAATAAATTGCAGGTTCTAAAATGTGGCTCTAATGTTCAGGAAGGGTTGAGAATGTCAGTTCTCAGCCAATACCCTGATTTAACAGAGTGACCCTGGCCCATTGCAGATCAGTTAAATCAGAATCTCTGAAGGCGGGACCCAAACATTAGTATGGCTGAACAGTTCTTCAGGTGATTCTAATGTTTCCAGGGTTAAGAAACCACAGACAGGGCTAAGGTCCCTCCAGCTCTAAAACACTACTTGTAGAAGTAAAACTTTAAAAACTGTAGCCAGGTGCGGTGGCTCATGCCTGTAATTCCAGCACTTTGCGAGGCCAAAGTGGGTGGATCACGAGGTCAAGAGATCAAGACCATCCTGGCCAACATGGTGAAACCCCATCTCTACTAAAAATACAAAAATTAGCTGGGTGTGGTGGCACGCGCCTATAGTCCCAGCTACTTGGGAGGCTGAGGCAGGAGAATTGCTTGAACCCGGGAGGTGGAGGTTGCAGTGAGCCAAGATCACGCCACTGCACTCCAGCCTGGTGATGGAGCGAGACTCTGTCTCAAAAAAAAAACAACAAAAAACAAAAAACCGTATTATACATCTTCCTGCCTTTTAAAATAAGACATCCTGAATATAAAGCAATCCTTTCAAGAGGTTGTATGTGATTATATGGCCAATAACAGTGACCATGTGACACCTTTACAGGCTGCTATGATTAATAAGGCTCTTTACTTCTGAAACACAGGTCGTATCTACAGTTATGGTATCTCTACGCCAAAATGTAGGGTTATTTATTTATCCTCTATAAAGTTAACTATTCTTCTCTTTTTGATCTTTTTCCCCTTACATTTTTGTACTGTTTTCCCATTTAAAAATGCTCATGACTTCTATTTCAGTTATTGCTACTTCTCACTCATTCATTCAATTTATACTTACTCAGCAACTATTATGTGCCAGGAACTGTTCTAGGCACTGGTGAAATGCACTTTAAAAAAAAGTTATTTACATTCTAGTAGGAGGTAAAAGAAAATAAGCAGATAAATCACATGGTAATAAATAAAGCAAAATAAAGCAGGGCAAAGGGTATAGATAGTGATGGAGGGTGTGTGTGCTATTCTACCTAAGAGCACTTATATAGAAATAATATGCCTCAAGAAGAGCCTCTCCAATTAAGTGGTACTTGAGCAGACACCCTAAAGGAAATGAAGGGGAAAGCCATGTGAATATCTGGAGGAAGAGTGCTCTAATCAAGGCAAACAGCAAGCACAAAGCCCTGGAGTTTTTTCTTTGTGTCTTCAAAGAAGAGTGAGGAGACCAGTGTCGTTGGAATGGAGTACGTTAGAGTGGTAGGAAATGAAGTCAGAGGGTTAGCAGGGGCTTATGCAACTGTGTAAAGACTGTGGATTTTATTTTGAGTGAAAAAGAAGACCACTGGAGAATTTTGAGAAGATAAGTGGCATGATCACATATTTTTAAAGGCTCACTTTGGCTGCTTGGTAGAGAACAGACTGTAGGTTTTCCTAATTCCTAAATGTTGCAGCATGACATTAACAACAATCACAACAAAGCTTTGATGAAAATTATCGGGTACAAACACTCAATAATACATATTTTACTATAAACTTAGTAGATATCACGGCATGAATGTCTACCCTACCTGCATCTCAGGTATCTGTGGAATGCAAGATTTGGGTCTCAATGGCAAGAGGGTTGCCATTTGTGGAAAAGGGTCAATGTCCTTCCTTGGTTTTGTTTGACGGAGGTGCCAGAATTTCAGTTCAGCACTAGCATATTTTGTTGAGGCTGAATGAGTAACACAGAATCTTGGTGCCCTGTATATTGGAAAAATAAATGTAAGATTGAACTAAACAATAAGCCTCAAAAATGAAAAGCCTACAAATACACAATAGCTGTGCTCACAATTAACAGTCTTGCTGTACCCGTTTTCTAATAACTTCTACTTCTTTTTCTACTGTCTAGCCTTGAAAAAATATTCTTCTATGATATGTCAGCTGCCTGTAATCCCATTCACTCATATAAAAAGGCAATATACATTGGGAAAAAAATCATAAGTAAAATTATGTTCAAATTATTAGCTGCTTGACAAGAAAACTAAAAATACAAAAATTAGTGGGGTGTGGTGGTGGGCACCTGCAATCCCAGCTACTCAGAAGGCTGAGGCAGGAGAATTGCTTGAACCTGGGAGGCGGAGGTTGTAGTGAGCCTAGATCACACCATTGCACTCCAGCCTGGGCGACAAGAGTGAAACTCCATCTCAA